TAGCAATTAAAAAGTCATCATGTTAAGGCCTCATAGGACCAGTGCACTAGAACAGTAACCACCACCAAGAGGAGTAGATCAGAAGTATCACATCTGAAGACACACGAACATAGACGAACAAAGACTGGATCTGAGCAAATCCAGCAATGATAACCATAGGTAGAATCATGCGAGATCTATCCGAGAAACACCTCCACAAACCCTCTAACGATGTTGAGCGAAACACCAGGACAAGGGCTATGTGAGGAGAACTCTTTTTTCCATCTTTAGCCTTCAGGGAGCCGCTGCCATCTTGCCTACTTAAGTACGACACAAACCCTACCAAAACTCAAAAAAATATATTCTAAAAATGAAGTCCTCGCGTCGGCGAGAGTCGAGATCCTCCGCGACCCCATGACCCTAAGGCCATAAGAGACGAGGGCAAATCAGCGACGCCGTCGATGGGAGACAAAAACCCTAGTCCCATGTTCCCTTGGAAGGAGAGGCGTGTGTTCTCTGTTACCAATATGCATGTGTTAAAAAGGTGTAAACCTAATTTTTCTGAATTGTCTAAGTAATTAATGTTTTTTATCATCAAAACTTTATTCCTCAAGCAATGGCCATAAAGTTTACAGTTCGAGGCAAAATAAAATCAAGGCATTAGGGCATCTCTAGCCGTTGGCCCCCCAGGAGGGGCAAAAAATCGCCCCCTGGGGGCGCACCGGCGCTAAACCGCGCACTGGGGGCGTGATGCCCCCCAGTCGCGGCGCCCACGGTTAGTCAAAAAAGTCAAATACGGCGCAAAAACGACTCAAATTTAACGCAAACATCGGCGAGTTCGTTCAAACTTAAACATATTTTACAAAAAAAGAAAAAAACTACCGCGGGCTACCCCCGCCGTCTCCCTCGCCGCCCGCCTCGCCGCCCGCCCACGCGGTTCTACATGCCGAGGAGGCTGTAGAACCGCGTGTAGTCACCGCCGTCGTCGTCATCGTCGTCGTCGTCGTCGCCCCCCCCGCCTATGCCTCCGCCCTCCCTGCTGCATCCCTCCCCCAGTTGGCGTGGCGGGTTGGACGGTCCGGGGGCGTCGTCGTCGTCGTTGTCGAGGACCACGACGCCATGCTCGTCCTCGCGCCCACGCTTGCGGGCGGCGATCTCCTTCAGGGCCCGGCGCTGCCGGACCATCTCGTCGCGGAGGTAGTCGTCCCGCGCCCACCGCATGGCGTCCTCGTCGAAGAAGCCGCGCCGGGCTATCTCCTTGTACTCCGCGGGGAAGCCGGGCTCCGGCTTGGGCTCGACGAGGACGAAGCAGCCGTTGGGTGGAGAGGCGTTGGCGCCGATGCGGACGCCGGAGCTGCGGGTGCGCACGCTGACCGGCGTGCCCTGGGGCTCCGGCTTGACGGGGCGGAGGCAGGGCAAGCCGCCGGACGAGGAGGAGGACCCCCCGGTCTCCATGCGTCTCGGGGTCCAGGAGCTTCCCCGGCGGCGTGAGAAGGAAGGGGGAGCAGGGTACTCGAGGCGCGGCGTGTTGCCGCCCTCGATGTACTCGAGGACGGCCTCCAACGTGCGCCCGGGCACGCCCCACCACCGACGCCGGCCGGCGGCGTTGAGCCTGCCGGAGGGCACGACGCCGTTGGTGGCCTCGAGCTGCTGGGCGTGACGGCAACGGAAGTAAGGGTCCCAGAGCGGGCTGTCGGGGACGTACCGTGGCCCCTCCCCCGCCGCACGCGGCAGGTTCGAGCGGATGCGTGCGATCTCCGCACGTCGCGCCGCGCCGGTGGGTACCGGGGGCACCGGCACGCCGCCCGCGCTGATCCTCCACGCCCCGGGCACCCGCAAGTCCGGCGGGACCGGGTACTCGGCCTCGTAAAGGAAGCGAGCCTCGTCTTCATGAAGATGGCGGCGGCCGAAGCCGTTTGCCGCCGCGCCGTCGCCTGGGGAGCGCTCGGCCATGGGTGTGAACTGGAGACGGAGAAAGAGAGAAGAGGAGAGGGAGGAACGACGACGGCGGGAGAGTGTGAGTCGCCGAGTGCGCCGGGGCGCGTCATATATAGGCCGAGGCGCGCGTGCCACCGTGTCTACGCGTGGCGGGCGAGGGAGGGCGAGAGACGCGCGTCGTCCGGTCTTCACTGCGCCGCCCATGAGGCATCAATGGTGCAGGCTGACCGGCGCGGCAGCTTTGGCATTGATTCACCGCGGGAAACGAGGCGATGAGGACGACGAAGGGCCGAGAAGAGAGCCGTGTCGCTGACGCGGCGGGCCCGCGCCTTTTTCGTGCCAAAACAGTTCGCCCGGCGCCCCCGGGCGTCCCCCAGCGTCCCGGGTTCGGGCTGGGTCCGCCGACGCTGTTTTCGGCACAATCCGGCGAAAATCGGGCTCCTGGGAACGCGACTGGGCCGTTTTTTCGGAGCCGGCGCGAAAAAAACGCCTGGGGAGACCTTTCTGGGGACGCGACTGGAGATGCCCTTAGAGTCCCAATACTCAGATAAGCTAACTCTAACACAATGTTTTTCTAGACTATCAGCAACAAGATTTGCATCCCCACATCAATGAAGATAATCAATGCTTGAAAACTCCAACGCCAGGAGAGGAGCATCTGTAATGATCGGTGTGTTTGGACCCACATGTCCCTCCGGATTCGAAATTGCATTCAAGGCCCTCCTGCTATCCGGTCCGATTTTATGACAACTTTAGTGTAGCTGATGTTAGCTGCTGGATTCGAAATGAATAACCAATGTTTCAGCATAAAATGACGCGTCAACGTTGATTTCAACATGCTCTCTATTTGGTTTCTTCCACACATGCTCAGATTTTCAGATAGGCTGGTTCGGTGTATTGTACAAAAAACACGCTGCATAATTATGTACATATATCTACTGTAATATCATTCGTCATGATAAAAGGAAACTTTTCATGTGAAATTCAGAAATAATTGTACTCCGTCCGTCTAGGTGTGTAAGTCATTTTACGAAAATCAAATAATCCCAAAACACTTAGGCGCGATGCATTAAATTCTATCTCGTTTCTTGTTTCTTAACATATCAACCAATAAGAGATGTGGGGTGTGCATGCTTTTAATGACTTAAGACTACCAAACACGACATGCAGTGGTTAGTTCATTGCATGCAATACTATTAATTGGCAAATGAACATTAAGTTCTCTCGTTTTCTCCTCCTTTTTGGTCACGGTGCACAACCTAAGATCACTTACTCACCTAGACGGAGGGAGTAGTTAATAGCTACATGTGTCAAAGTGCTAACAAACCAAATAATTCCATGCATGGCGGGGATTTGTAGCTTAACCACGGATGATATACCCCCAAAAATCACGGATAGTATCAATTTAATAATACCATTGCAACCTTTTTATTTACTTCCGTGTTTTAATTATGCTATATATGGCATATTTTCGTCGTTGAATCAAGAGCGACGAGGTTAGCCCCGGCCGAACGGCATTACCCATACATGTTGCCTATATAAGCAAGCCTGCCGTGTTCCCTCGCCGTGGTCGACGAGGTGGTGCTCAATGGCAATGGCAATGGCGCCCGTAGCACTTGCACTCTGCGTGTGTACCACCGTCCTCCTCTCCACTCCACCATCCGCCCAATCCTACACCGGCCACCCATCCTCCCCTCCCAGCCCGAGCCCCGCAGCGGCAGAGCCGACGTCGTCCCCGGAGTACAAGACGTACATCATCCTGCTCAAGCCTCGAGCGGACGCCCAGGTCATGGACGACGAAGCGCGCCAGGGCTGGTACCGATCCTTCCTCCCCGACGACGTGACCGCCCACGGCGAGCCGCGGCTCCTCCACTCGTACAACACAACACCATCTTCCACGGATTCGCCGCCTTGCTGACGGAGGAGGAGCTGGAGGCCACATCCAGGAAACCCGGCTTCGGGTGCTGGTTCCCGGACGAGATGATGTACCCCGCGACGACCCGCTCGCCCGAGTTCCTCGGCCTGAGGAAGGACGCCGGCTTGTGGTCGAAATCTAGCTACGGCAAAGGGATCATCATCAGGGTGATCAACTCCGGCATCGAGTCGCGCCATCCCTCGTTCGACGACGCCGGCATGTCGCCACCGCCCGCCAGGTGGAAGGGCACGTGCACGGGCTTGGTCAGGCCCGTCCGGTGCAACAACAAGCTCATTGGCGTCAGGTCCTTCGTGGACTACAACCCTGCCGACGTGACCGGCCACGGCATGCACGTGGCGTCGATTGCGGCGGGCAACTTCGTCGCCAACGCCTCGTCTTCCCACGGACTGGCCGCTGGGACGGCCGCCGGGATCGCTCCCGGCGCACACCTGGCCGTGTACAAGGCCTGCAGACCTAGTGGGTGCCTCCGTTCGAATATAATTCGCCCAAAATTTAAAAAATGACCGCGCGCTAACGGGAGAGAATGAGCGGCCGCTCTTTCTTGCCATGCATGAGTTGTTTTTTGTATGCTAGTATATGTTGTTATTAGTATTTAATGTGTTCACACTGATTAGTCCAATTTAAAAGAAACAGCTTCACGTACAATTATTTTAGTTTTCCGAATTTTTAAAAAGCCATATTTTTCAAACTGCGCGTCGGAATTCAGATCCGTCTTCACTGTTGAATTCTTTGCGACGAGATCTTTGAAACTAGATCCCCATAAGTATGTTTTGACGAAATTTTTTTGATGCCAACTTTGGGGCTATATTGTGCAACTTCAGTACTGCTTTGTGCAACTTTAGTACTACATGATGTAATTTTTTTCAAACCCAACTTTTTGAAGCTGCATCCACAATAGTTGTAGTTGCACACATAATAGTTCTAGTTGGCACATGCATGGCCACATAGTTGCACAATCTGGTCCGCATAGTTGCATATGAATTGTCATAGCTTGTAATGTAGTCTAGTTGCACACTTATTGATGTTTAGTTGGCTTGTAACGTAGTCTAATTGCACACAAATTGATGTTTAGTTGGCAGGAAGACTAGTTGCACACACATATGCTTAGTTGGCTTGTAATATAGTCTAGTTGCACACATATTGATGTTTAGTTGGCAGAACACTAGTTGCACACGCATTGATATTTAGTTGGCAGGACTAGTTACACACACATATACTCAGTTGACGCGGCAATATAGTCTAGTTGCACAATGCAATACTTTAGTTGCACCATATAGCACCAAAGTTGGCATAAAAAAAATTCATCGAAACATACCCATGCGGGATCTAGTTTCGAAGATCTCGTCGCGATGAATCCAAAGGTGAAAACGGATCTGAATTCCAACATGTGGTTTAAAATTTATGACTTTTTAAAGATTTAAGAGGCGAAAATAAATGTGTTTCACAGACTAGTCTGTATGCTTTTAATGCTAACAAAAACATCCACTAACTGACAAAAAAATACACACTAGGTAATTGCTATTTATAAATTATTAGGGAACCAAAACTTGCAATTTTAGGTCGGCCGCTCGCAAAGTGTAGCGAGCAGCCGGCCGCTCACTAGACCGGTCCTATAATTCGTGCGATTGACACGGCGGTGAGCGATGGGGTCGACGTGATCAACATCTCCCTCGGCCGTAAACCGGGACTACCACTCGGAAGGGACGTTGTGGCCATTGGCGCATTTCGCGCGGTGGCCAAGGGTGTCGTCTTCGTGACTTCTGCTGGCAACGACGGCCCCGACCTGTCCACCGTCAAGAACGAATCGCCGTGGAAGATCACAGTGGGCGTCGGGTCGGTGGATCGGAGCCTCTTCGCCGACCTTGTGCTAAAGTCGGGCGAGCTGGTCGAAGGAGAGGCGCTGGTGCAGGGGTCCAACTCGACCGCCTACCAACCCCTCCACTATCCCGACGATGGTAACATGTGCAAGAAGGTGAGTGCCGACCGCATGAGGGGCCACATCGTGATATGCGACGATGCGTTGGTTAACGTTGACACTCAGGCCCGCATCATCAAAAATCTCTACGACAATGGCGCAGCTCAAGTCGTGCTCATCGGTCTGGAGAAAGCTGGTTTCACCTTGGGCTTCAGGGAGTATGGCTCTTCCATCGTGTAGGAGCCCGCCGCCATCGGCCGCAAGCTCAAGGACAATACTACAGCAAGTACCCGGATTCTGCGACGCAGGTGTTATTCAAGGGCACGCAGCTCGGCGTCGGCCCGTCGCCCACGGTCATCTACTTCTCCGGCCGTGGGCCGAGCCGCGGCAACCAACACATTGTGAAGCCCGACATCCTGGCGCCGGGGCTCAACATCCTCGCCGCCGCCACGGAGAGCCCAAACCGGGGGCCTTTCAGATTCAAGTCCGGGATGTCGATGGCGGCGCTACACATCAGTGGCGTCGTCACCCTTCTCAAGAGCGTGCACCCGGACTGGTCGCCGGCGGCCATCAGGTCAGCCATAATCACCACGGCCGATGATGTGGACAACGAGATGATGTGGACAACGAGGGCAGCCGGACCATGAATGAGAAGCACGAGCCGGCGAGTGCCTTCGCTGTAGGCGCGGGCACGTCAACGCCACGCGGGCCGTCGACCCGGGGCTGGTCTATGATCTGGAGGTCAGAGACTACGCCGGGTACATTTGCCATCTTTTCGCCAAGCTCGACGATGATGACGACTACGACGATGACGACGAATACGCCATGCAAGACATCATCCAGGACTTGAACTTGAATTGCAAGACCGTGCCCCCTGTGTCGGACGTCGACCTCAACTACCCGAGCATCGTGGTGCCGGCGAACACCACGGTGCGGCGAACGCTAACCAACGTGGGCCGACGGGAGAGTAGCACTAGTAGATAAACCGCCATTAGTCCCGGTTGGTAAGGGCCTTTTGTTCCGGTTCCTGAACCGGGACTAAAGGGTCGTTACTAATGCCCTGGCCCTTTAGTCCCGGTTCAGTCCAGAACCGGGAATGATGGGCCTCCACGTGGCCGGTGCGCCGAGCCCACGCAGGAGGGCCTTTGGTCCCGGTTGGTGGCACCAACCGGGACCAATAGGCTGTGGTTTTTATTTTTTTTGAAAGGAGGGGTGGTTGTGGGTTTCGGGGGGTTAATTTAGGTGTTTCATATATTGTGTTAGCTAGCTAATTAATAAAGAGAAGTGTCCTCTCTTATGTCCGTGCTTGGTCGACGCTACGTACTATACATAGAGAGGCTCTCGACACGCTAGCTAGTAAGAAAATGAAGGAAACCATTAAGTACAGAAGTTCGTCATGCATACGAGAGAAGTGATCGATCGACCTCTCCTTCTCCGAGAGATTGGTCGAACAACAAGTTTTCGTATTATCTATCTGACGCTACTGGATACATACATATACAATATATAAGATCTCTTACAATCCCCTAGCAATTGAATCAACTTCCACATGGTATTCTCCGGCTTTATTGATGACGTGGTCAAGAAAGAATCCCGCCAATTCCTCTTGAATTGCTTTCATGCGATCTTGTTCTAGGAGTTCATCCTGCATCTGCCACGTCTAATTTGAAGAAGGGGGTTAATATATATATATGAATGAAACTCAACAGAAATGCTGGTGTAATAAAATGAAATTGTGAATATTATTGCTTACGCACTTCATATTGTCTTTTAGAGTAGCCCCGCTTATTTTGCAAAGTCGCGTTGTAGATGAACTCGCACACATAGTATCCACAGAAATTATTCCCTTGTTGCTGCCACAAGCACTTTACGAGAAATAGAGGTCAATCAAACTGATAATGAAGCATTATAAATGGCATTGATGAAAGTATAGCTATAGAATCAACGGGAGATGCGCGCAACTAGCTAGCCAGTAGTACTTACTTTCGGGTATGTATATCGCAGCTCCTTCGGCAGTCCCGGAGCTTCTGCGGTGAACTGTTTCCAAACCCTGCAAGACAAAGAAAATAATTATTATTACTTGAGATATCAGGAAATGAACAAAAAGTTGTCGATATGGTGCGATAATGATCGGTTGAACTTACTTGTTGAGCAATTTAGTCATGTCCACATAGGTTTCGGGATCTTTTCGTCTCGAGTCTAAGACGGTTACTAGTCCCCGCTCAAGCTTAATCTCCAGAAGAACATAGTGGAAGCTGCACACGCATGCATAACTCCTCAATTACATCACTATAACCTCGCTCGAGTAATAAGGGAAACCGAATATGCACACGACAGTAACACTCACTTGAAGTTGTAAGGAAAGAGTATTAAATCTTTGTTTTGATTTTTGATCAACGATTGTAGCAAGTTGGCCTCGGCCTCTTCGGCGTGCTTTTTAACCTGAATTCATCTATGATATTTGTGTTAATGAACCCAATATCATACATTTCTTGTTTTCTGCGCTCGACGATCTTCAATCTGCATAATATAGTGAGGATAATTAATTATAAATACATGCAATGAAAGAGCTGAGCTATATATAGAGACTTAATGACAGAAATAGTACTTACAGACAGTAGCAAAAGGCCGTTAATTTATCGAGGGCCTTTTGATTGAAGAACTCGAAGAACTCCTCAAATGGAACAGGCAACAGATCAGTTCCAACGAGGTCGTGCTCCTCTTTAATTCTCAGAAACAAAGTATTCATCCCCCCAGACTCTCTACAGGTTTTCATGTACCAATTATGGAATCTTCGCATCATCGTTGTTAGAGATTTTTCATCTTTGATGAGAGCCTTCCCGTACTCGTATCTGTGTTCGTCCACCTCCATGAAATCAAAATTTACATCGTCAGGCAGGTAATCTGCAAGATTGCTATAACCGGGCACCGTCCCGGAGCATTAGCGACGATGTCATCGCTAGACACATTGAGTGGGGGGCACAATTGATTTGCTTGTTCGCCGAGCTGGGCAATTTTTTTTCTTAGCTGCTCGTTCATTTAACCTTCGATCACTGACAGTACTTCCCGACCGCTCCGCTGCGAGATATGCCTGTTCAGTAATGCGCTCATAGTTGATTCTCGGTGGAGACTTTGGTGGTTTCCTCAGGGCATCGATAGTGCGCTTTGCTTTCACCGGATCTACCTTCTCCTCCGGAGGTGGATGTCTCTTTGCTTTCAACCCTTTAAAGAAGTCCTCCACTTCGGTCCGCACGATCTTCGCGTTTTCCTCCTCGGTCCTTTTGTACGGTAACTTCTCTAGAGGCTTGAGAGAAGGACCGTATCTGTATTGCCTCCCGCCTCTGCTGGCTGTACTGCTAGATGCCGGAGCAGACGGAGCGGCTGTGGCATCTGTCTTCTTTCGTGCTTGCTTAAGAGGCGGAGGAGAAGGACTACGACACGCCGGAGCAGCCGGGGCAGCGGCGGGTCTCTTCCGCCCTTGCTGGCTGCTACCTCTTGAGCACTGCGTTGGATTTCCCCGAAGAGGAGAGGATGATGCAGTAAAGTAGCGTAAGTATTTCCCTCAGTTTTTGAGAACCAAGGTATCAATCCAGTAGGAGACCACGCACAAGTCCCTCATACCTACACAAAACGATAGCAACTCGCAACCAACGTTTAGGGGTTGTCAATCCCTTCACGATCACTTACGAGAGTGAGATCTGATAGATAATATTTTTGGTATTTTTGATAGATAGATGCAAAGTAAAAAGGTAAAAGGCAAAGTAAAAACAAGGCAAGTAAATAAAGTGATAGAGATTGATATGATGAGAATAGACCCGGGGCCCATAGGTTTCACTAGTGGCTTCTCTCGAGAGCATAAGTATTCTACGGTGGGTGAACAAATTACTGTTGAGCAATTGACAGAATTGAGCATAGTTATGAACATATCTAGGCAATGATCATGTATATAGGCATCACGTCCAAAAAAAGTAGATCGAAACGATTCTGCATCTACTACTATTACTCCACTCATCGACCGCTATACAACATGCATCTAGAGTATTAAGTAAAAACAAAGTAACGCTTTAAGCAAGATGAAATGACGTAGAGGGATAAATTCATGCAATATGATAAAAACCCCATCTTGTTATCCTCGATGGCAACAATGCAATACGTGCCTTGCAACCCCTTCTGTCACTGGGTAATGACACTGCAAGATCGAACCCAAAGTTAAGCACTTCTCCCATTGCAAGAACTACCAATCTAGTTGGCCAAACAAAAAAGGGTAATTCGAAGAGACTTGCAAAGATAAGTCAATCATACATAAAAGAATTCGGAGAAGAATCAAATATTTTCCATAGATAATCTGAATCATAAACCCACAATTCATCGGTCTCAACAAACACACCGCAAAAAGAAGATTACATCGAATAGTTCTCCACAAGAGAGGGGGAGAACCTTGTATTGAGATCCAAAAAGAGAGAAGAAGCCATGTAGCTACTAGCTATGGACCCGAAGGTCTGAAGTAAACTACTCACACTTCATCGGAGGGGCTATGGTGATGATGTAGAAGCCCTCCGTGGTAGATGCCCCCTCCGGCGGAGCTCCGGAACAGGCCCCAAGATGGGATCTCGTGGATACAGAAAGTTGCGGTGGTGGAATTAGGTTTTTGGCTCCTGTCCTGATCATTCGGGGATACATAGGTATATATAGGAGGAAGGAGTACGTCGGTGGAGCGTCGAGGGGCCCACGAGGTAGGGGGGCGCGCCCAGGGGGGCGCCCTCCACCCTCGTGACCGCCTCTGGCACTTCTTGGAGTAGGGTCCAAGTCTCCTGGATCACGTTCGGTTGGAAAATCACGATCCCGAAGGTTTCATTCCGTTTGGACTCCGTTTGATATTCTGTTTCTTCGAAATACTGAAAAAGGCAAAAAACAGCAATTCTGGGCTGGGTCTCCGGTTAATAGGTTAGTCCCAAAAGTAATATAAAAGTGGAAAATAAAGCCCAATATAGTCCAAAACAGTAGATAAAGTAGCATGGAGCAATCAAAAATTATAGATATGTTGGAGACGTATCAAGCATCCCCAAGCTTAATTCCTGCTCGTCCTCGAGTAGGTAAGTGATAAAAAAGAATTTTTGATGCGGAGTGATACTTTGGCATAATTTCAATGTAAAACTTCTTAATTGTGGCATGAATATTCAGATCCGAAAGATTCAAGACAAAAGTTCATATTGACAGAAAAATAATAATACTTCAAGCAT